AGTAGGCAAATAAGAGAAAATAAAGACTCTAAAATATTTATAGAAGATTTACCCGGTAAAAACTTGTTTTTAATTATTCAGTTTGGGTGAAAGTTGTGTATTATATAAAAAAAAAAAAACTAAAGTAAACTAGCCAGAAAATATTATATATAAACGTTCTTTTAGTTCATGTAACGTTAACACACAGACAGCTACAGGCTAGCACAACCCAAATCAAACCCGAGTGTGTGGTTTATTTGTGTGTTTTGTTTTTTATCCGCGGAGTTGCGGTCTTGTAAACATCGAAAGTATGACTGAAACTAATAGATTGGAGCCATTTTCTGGGTTGTTTTGTTGTATTACATATGCGAATGTTGTACACCTCCCCATTACAAACTTTCAAGACTATCAATGTTATAAAATGACCAACTTCTAAAAACAAATGTATAGTTGTTTTTGTAAAGAATTGCTCGCTTATATATAACGCCGAAGTCATATTTCAATGTCTTTGGAAAACAAGAAAAAACACAAAATGACTTAAGCAATTATGCTATGAGGCTAACGATATGTAGCTTTGGAGCCGCTGCTGTGACACTGTCTACAAACGCTTCCAGTGTGAATACTCTCGCGCGTCTGCAGCTGCAGTGACAATGTAGTAACGCTGACGCGCTGCTCAAATGCCGCTCACGCTTGCGGTGTGAAACCTATATGTGAAACGGCCGTAAGGCTGCATCGAAAGGTAACTTCGCGTCTACTGCCATGTTTGATCCATAGGTATAAACAAACTGCTTCGGTGTGTCGCATAGACGCGTCATCGTCTTGCTGCTCCCTCCCCGTTCTGTGATTGGTTCCCTAAATGAGGCGAAAAATCTGGCCATGGTATCCATACTGCCTTTCAGCGTAAATTGAATCGCGCTGCGGTAAGGCAGTATGGGGAAACCCAGGCTAGAACGTGAGTGGATTCTGACTAAATTAAACACGTCTGATTGGTCACTGCATTCAAGAGATCAACAAACATGTCTGTGATTGGCTACATTGCTCACCGCTGCAAAAACATGTGGTAAAATAGAAACATTGATGTTCTCCAGAGCGCAAACACAAATATGCACAGGAGTGTTTGCCAAGTCCATTTCGTCAATATGATATTATTAGAGTATCAACTGAGGGTGCTCTCTCCTTCTTCTGAATCAATTTCTGGTTCAAACATACATGTCTGTATAAAACCATAGTGTTTACTACAGTCCGAGTGGATCAGGTAATCCGAGCTGCTGTGAGTGAGTGGAGGCGGAGACTAATTTGCATATTCATATATCCACGCATACTAAATGAACCAAGGGTGTAGTAGAGTTACATTCAAGCTATTTTAAGGAATGAAGAAATTATTTTCACAGGAAAAAAAAACAAAAACATGTCATTTTCAAAGGGATACAATTATTGACTTCACAGGGACTTACTAAAGGTAAAGAACCTTTATTTTTTAGAGTTCATGTTAAAATCAAATCATGCACACTTTTGTTAATGGATCAAGGTTGACTGCTTTTTTCTTCAGCTGATGGTGGTAAATAGTTTCCAGTAATATAATTGTGTATGTCTGAAACTTCTCAAGTGTGTTTTCCTTTTATGCGTTCCCAGGAGCCGCCGCATGACGCATAAACCAAGATCTAATGACCTCTTAGTGAACCCGAGGCTGTGCATTAATAAGAGACGTTGCTAGAGCTTGCTCATCCTGTTTGAGTGTAAACACAATAAAATAGCATTTGCATTTATATAGTTTTTCACTAGTGGCATTACTAGACTCAGGGATGGCCGTCGGACAGCTTCATGCTGATTTTTACCTGTGGAAAATTAAGATAAGTAAGTAATCCCATGAAAGGAAATGGCTTCTGCATCTCAACTGCCAGTTAACAAGAGAAATGCTATCTTACAGTCAGGTTTTTAATGCAATGCAAACAGTTTTCAAAGTTATCCTAGCAGCATATATAGCAGCAAATCTTCCTCGCGGTAGCTTTGCCTCCGCAGCCCCATTAGGCAAAATAGAGTGCTATAAACAAAACTGAACTTGAAAGAGTGGCCGTGCACAGAAAATGGCAAATGTATAAGAATGCCCTGCGAGTTTTATCCGAGCGTTTGATCCGAGTCTGCTTCTGTTCACGCCACTCAGGACACGAAACGGATAAGTTAGAGAAAGCGAAAAGCTATCAGACTGATACCGATCGGGGTGTTTGGCTTCGGTGAAAGTGATAAAACATTGTCCTTTTCTGTAAGCCCTCATGGGAGGCGGCTTTTGTGACTGAAGACAAACAAGATTTTGACACTTCCTGTTAATTAACCTAATTAGCATAGGCCTATTATGTGCCCGGACAGTATCGTGACAGGCCTCGGTGAGAGACTGCAACCATGACCTTTAGTGGACACCACCAGCTGTCACCAATTACCTGCAGACCGATCGGCCTGGATAAAAGCACTTGTTCTTGAGCACCTCTGCCTCGCTACATATGCAGTCACCGAGCTTTCTCTTAAAGGAATAATTAGAATAAAATGTTATATTCTGTCATCATTTACTCACCTTGATGTTTCAGACCTGTGTGCTGAAAATAATGTTACAGTATATAAAGCGTCTTAAAGGGGTCATGACATGAGAAATCAAATGTGCCTTGATCTTTTGACATATAAGAGGTCTTTGACCAGTAAAACATCCTGCAAGTTTCAGAGCTTAAAACGTCCTCCTCATTATAAACAAAGCATTGTGTCTATTTACACTAGCTCCGCCCACTGACACCTGGTTGGGTCAGACAAAATTGCGTAAGACGCTAGATTGTCAACAGTAGCAATACTGTAGATGTAAGGCGTCTGACAGAAAGTTTTGACGCAAATCGACCCGAGTTCGAATCCGCCGATAAAAGGCGTTTATTTTCAATAAAAATGTTGAAAATTTTCGAATGGTGGAAAAAAAGTGTGTTTATCGGTTAGGGGTCAGTGTAGGTAAGGCTTTATTGTCCCAATAAGGCGGCACCCATTTAATAATTGTAAGAAATTTAATAATTTACACTAGTGCTGTCAAACGATTAAAATATTTAATCGCAATTAATCGCACATTTTTATCTATTCTAAATGTCTCTTGATTTCTTTTTGTCCCATTATTTTTTCTCATTTTAATGCTCTTATCAACATGGAAAAGTGGATCGGCTTGCTTTGTGCAAATGTTTTTTATTGAAAACAACATTGGCATATACTGTGTTCAATTTCACACTAACATTCTCACTTGGAGCAAATAATCTCTCACACAATGTAACACTGTCCATCAATAAAAGGGTGAAAGAAATACTGAGAGGTCCTGATATTGACGAGGGGGCGGAGAATTCGCATCAGCTGTGTGTGTGTGTGTGTGTGTGTGTGTGTGCTTGGCCATCATCAAGTGGTATTTCAGACTGGACGTGCTGCGATGATGATAGCTCAGTTCACAACGACAAAACACACAGATCACTTTGGTCTGTCAATGGAACCATTTGGCATCTTTTTAAAAGTAAACTTTCCATTCAGAATCTTATTGGCATCCATTTCGGCGTCTCGCGCTCGACATCCACTCAAAACGTAACGTTAACCAACTATTTGGCCGGCTCGCAGATCTAAACAAGTGTGTGCGGCGTCCATAGACAGTAAAAGAAGGCGGTGTCATGCCTGTTGTTTTGTTTCCGGTCTAGCTAGATCCGCTTGCGCTTTGGTCGACGAAGCAACAAAACGTCCTCGCGCGGCGCAAGCCATTGAAATGAATGGGTTTCATAGCGCCGCGCATGCCGCGTCCTGTTGCAAAAGCATGTGAAAAAAACTACAAAGTTTGCTAGGCCAAAAAGGCCGTTAATCGCGCGATAAAAAAATTGACGCCGTTAAAATGGGTTTGCGTTAACGCCGTTAATAACGCGTTTAACTGACAGCCCTAATTTACACTCTATGTTATTATTACACACCGTTTATTGTACAACAACACTGAGGTGCAAATAGAATCTTCCACTATTTATAAGTATAAATCGCTTCTAACTACTATTTACAATTATTGCAAAGAAAATACTGCTATTTGTACACAGTCTGAATATAATCTACCGCTATTTTCACTTAGTGTAAATATCAGATATCGCTAAAAAAATATGCTGTTTTCACTTAGTGTAAATAGCCGTTGCCTTTATTTAATCAAGCTCCAAAAACTGCTTGTTTGGATATTGCGTAATCTGCGACATCACACAGGCAAATACATTTGCATATGCCCGCCTCCAGAACGAGACCTCGACGAATAGTTATACATCATCGCACCACTGGCGTTCAGTCACTTAACAGCTGCCGTTTGCATACACCAAAAGCCATTACAATGACTGACGCTGTCTACACTGGATGAGCGTTCAGTTTCTGCGTTCAATTTTAAATTGAAGTCCTTATTCACTGATGATGTTCCTCTCTATGAAACTCTGACATCTTATTTCCGTCCACATTCAGATTTTTTCAGGTATCGCATCCCTTCAGAAGACTTTTATGTCCTTTTTGTAGCTCGACAGACATGGTCACTATAAGCTATTGTTGTATATAAAAGAGCTTTGTAGAGATTCCTGCAAAATTCACCTTTTGTGTTCCACCGAAAAGAGAGAATCGTACAGGTTTGGAATGACATGAGGCTGAACACTCCTCCTTTAAACTCTGTTTGCCTTATCTTCTTCCCGTCTTCGTTTTCCAGGCTTTTCGTGCGAGAAGATTGCATTTCCCCCTCAGGAATAAGGTCCATTAAGCTTTATAGGCTGCAGGCTTTGCTTTAGTTAAAACGTGTGACTAAATGTAAATATGTGCTTTGTATCGGGAGCCAGGAGGCTGTTGAGATGCACACAATTGGCTCAGAAAATGCATTGAATAAATTTACTTAAAGAACAGCTAAATGCTCTGGAAACGCTTACAACTTGATGGAAATGATGTCTTTGAAAATGTCGTTTTACTTGATGAAACAACAATCTAACGTAAAACAATTGATGTGTTGAATACAGGGACGTCAGTGATGAAGGTTATTGCCTCGGACGCTGATGACCCGACCTATGGAAGCAGCGCTCGGATAGTTTACAGCGTCCTGGACGGAGAGAGATTCTTTACTGTTGACCGACAAACCGGTAAGCACATCAATTTGTTCTCTACATAATCATTTCTTATGAATAGGAGCATATATAATCATGTCGAAAAGCCTTTTGCATGTTATCTACACATTGGATACTACTTTTAATTGGCGCATTTGCATGCAAACATCACGGTGTCAAGGTTTGCATGATGACTTCCTCTCACTTTCAGAACTGTTCAGTTGTTGACTATTAGTTTTTTGTCATTATAGTGAATTGAACATTGATTGTAAGCCATCAGACTCCAGTCATTCTAGAAATAGTTTTCTCGTGCTTGTTTCTTTTTTATAGACTGCACTATAATTTAGTGTAGGTTATTTTCCAAGATGCTTGTAAGTGCACCAGCACAGCACTGAGGTTTACCAAAAAAGTTCCTAGAAATGTAGCAAATTTTCTGTTGAGTGAAATTTTTGTTCTTAGTAGAAATATAGAGTGCAACAGGGTTCAGGAAGAAGAAAAATGCATAGAGAATTAGATTTGTAGCATTGATGTATTAAATGAGCGATGAAATCAAATAATAAATTAATTTCTTATTTATTTTTAAAAATGAAATAGCTAGATTCCCATTGAAGAATCCTCAAGTTCGATCTAACTCTTTATTGAAGTTGTTTTGTTTTATTCCTTATGGAGAAAGTAAAGAGAAAAATATATCATATACTATACTGTTCAAAAGTTTGGGGTCTCGTATGGTTGCAAAGGCACTAAAATAAAATTATTTCTATTGTATTATTGTAAAATTTTTATTTATTCTTGTGATCAAAGCTGAATTTTCAGTATCACATGATCCTTCAGAAATCACTCTAATATGATGATTTGCTGCTCAAGAAACATTTTTGATTATTATTAATGTTGAAAATGGTTATGTTATATTTGCAATATAAATCTTCCTTTTTTTAACATTATAAATGCCTTTACTAACACATCCTTTCTGGGTGACCCGAAGCTTTTGAAAAGCTGTGACTTTTATGTCCCGATAAAAACTATAACCGATAAAGTTAGTTATAATAGTAACTCTAATATTGTGAAGTACTTTTTACAATTTAAAATAACGTTTTTCTATTTTAATATATTGTAATTATTTTGAATCTTTACTGCCCTTTGGATCCGTTTAATAGATCCTTGCTGAATAATTAATAATTATAAATAACTTTTTAAAAAAACCTATTGACCCCAAGCCTTTGAACGGCATCGTGTTTTACACCTTTTCATTTATTATAAATGAGTGTTTTGAATGCTGTGAAAATTTTCCTTGCATGAAATAATTGTAAAGAGTATCGCATCAGAATGTGTTCCTGCTGGCGTGAGGTTTAGTTGGGCAAGTAAACATGAACTGGCCGTCATCACTGGAATCTCCCGGGAATAGCTCAGCGTTTGTTGCCTGCGTTCATCCCCGGGGAACTAGCACTAAACTTTTAATGATTTCTTTTTCGGGCCGGCGGGCACGAGACCTTTGAGCACCGGATGATAAATGGCTTCGCCTGTGCCACGTTAACCGCTGGACTTTTTTGCACGCTCCTTCCTTCTGATCTGAGGACAGTTCGATGAGCTGGAAGAAGACGAGCTGCGTGTCTTGACCTCGTTTCTGTCTCTGAACCTCCAGAAAAACAGCGTTAATCCCTGCTGGACGGGGCTTTTAGTCTTTGACACGGGATATATAAAAAGGCTAGTTGAGGAGTTTGATATTAATATCAATTTATTAAATCCGGGGTTTTTGAACTACGGGTTCTCATCTCATGTTCTCCAAATATTCAAGCCGTTTGATGATATTCTCATTTGCTTCTGCAATTTTCTCAAATGAGAGGAGCTTTTCAACTTCTCGCTGCCCTGAAATTAGCAGAATATGGAAAAGATCCCTACGCTGAGGGTTTACTTGGAGCAATTTTCTCTCAGAAATTGCTAGTAAATTGCACAAATAATTACAAAGCAATGGAGAGTCACATTAAATGAATGTGAAATTTTGAAGTGGAAAGACTGAAATAGTCATTTCTTGTAAAACATATTTCGATAATCTTTGCTTCATTTTACAAGTTTGAAACTCCAGAGGAAGATTTTATTGCTCTTTCATAGCTCACTGAGTTTCCAATAATGTTTTTTACATGTCTTTCCAGAAAAATACACATGATTGAGACCATCGTTGAGAGAAACTAAGAATATACACTCACCTAAAGGATTATTAGGAACACCTGTTCAATTTGTCATTAATGCAATTATCTAATCAACCAATCACATGGCAGTTGCTTCAATGCATTTAGGGGTGTGGTCCTGGTCAAGACAAACTCCTGAACTCCAAACTGAATGTCAGAATGGGAAAGAAAGGTGATTTAAGCAATTTTGAGCGTGGCATGGTTGTTGGTGCCAGACGGGCCGGTCTGAGTATTTCACAATCTGCTCAGTTACTGGGATTTTCACGCACAACCATTTCTAGGGTTTACAAAGAATGGTGTGAAAAGGGAAAAAACATCCAGTATGCGGCAGTCCTGTGGGCGAAAATGCCTTGTTGATGCTAGAGGTCAGAGGAGAATGGGCCGACTGATTCAAGCTGATAGAAGAGCAACTTTGACTCATCTCCACCACAAATAGGAAAAAGAGGCTACAATTTGCAAGAGCTCACCAAAATTGGACAGTTGAAGACTGGAAAAATGTTGCCTGGTCTGATGAGTCTCGATTTCTGTTGAGACATTCAGATGGTAGAGTCAGAATTTGGCGTAAACAGAATGAGAACATGGATCCATCATGCCTTGTTACCACTGTGCAGGCGGGTGGTGGTGGTGTAATGGTGTGGGGGATGTTTTCTTGGCACACTTTAGGCCCCTTAGTGCCAATTGGGCATCGTTTAAATGCCACGGCCTACCTGAGCATTGTTTCTGACCATGTCCATCCCTTTATGGCCACCATGTACCCATCCTCTGATGGCTACTTCCAGCAGGATAATGCACCATGTCACAAAGCTCGAATCATTTCAAATTGGTTTCTTAAACATGACAATGAGTTCGCTGTACTAAAATGGCCCCCACAGTCACCAGATCTCAACCCAATAGAGCATCTTTGGGATGTGGTGGAACGGGAGCTTCGTGCCCTGGATGTGCATCCCACAAATTTCCATCAGCTGCAAGATGCTATCCTATCAATATGGGCCAACATTTCTAAAGAATGCTTTCAGCACCTTGTTGAATCAATGTCACGTAGAATTAAGGCAGTTCTGAAGGCGAAAGGGGGTCAAACACAGTATTAGTATGGTGTTCCTAATAATCCTTTAGGTGCACTGTAAAAAATTCACCCGTATATTTACAGTAAAGAACTGGCAGCTGTGGTTCCAGCCCTTTACCGTAATTTTACGGTTTCAACAATGCTGTAATTTTACAGTAAAGTACTGGCAGCTGTGGTTCCAGCCCTTTACCGTAATTTTACGGTTTCAACAATGCTGTAATTTTACAGTAAAGTACTGGCAGCTGTGGTTCCAGCCCTTTACCGTAATTTTACAGTTTCAACAATGCTGTAATTTCACAGTAAAGTACTGGCAGCTGTGGTTCCAGCCCTTTACCGTAATTTTACAGTTTTTAATTTTAAGGCTGTGCTGTAATTTCACAAAGTACTGGCAGCATAAAGTTAGAATATAAATACTGTTTTTTATTTACTCTATTGTCTGATATCTATTAACATCCCTATATGTAGCATAATGTATACAGACATTCCAAACAGACTTTTTACTCAATGGAAAAAATAAAGACAAAATAGATTATGTATTAGTACATTGTTTGCCATTTATTTAAAATAAGTAACAGGTTTTAACAATACATTAACAGTATTTAAGGAAAAAAAGTCACAGAAAATACATTTTAAAATTCAATGAGAGGAACCAGTAGGCAGACACAGAAACATTACAAAGAGGCAAAAAAAAAAAAAAAAAAAAAAAAAACACCGAACAAACAAAACACTAAAACCAGCCAAAATGTCACATCAGCAACCAGGCCAGAGATTAAGTCTGGGTCTGAGAGGAAAACATTGAGAACATTTTCCTGAGAGGAAAAAAAAACAAAAAACACTGCCAAAATATCCCAAACCTGCTTTTGAATGATCTGGCCTGAGAGGAAGTCCAGATCTGAGAGGACATAATCACGAGAACCAATGGGTGAAGAAATGTAGAAAGAGGCAAAAAACAGCCAATACGTCCCACATCAGCTTTTGACAGATCTGGTCTGAGAGGAAATCCAGGTCTGAAAATAAAGAAAATCAAGAAAATCTTAGTGCTAAAATAAAGCACATTGCAAAAAGTGATCACATACTCTGCAAAAAGTGATCACATACTCTGCAAACACTTTTAAAAGAAACATAAAATGATCATGTTAATGTACTTAACGTAACTTAACTAATCTTAATTCTTTTGTCACTTAAAAAACAACACCACGATCGTAACATTAATTCACAAGGCCACCGTGGATGAATCAATGTCTTCTAAATCTGAAGCCAAACGATAGATGTGTGTAATAAAAATATTAATCGTTTTAACTCATTTTATTTTTGTGTAAGAAAAACAAAAATAAAATAAATACTAAATGAACTATAAATCATTACTTACAATCTACTGCCATAAGAGTGTTCACCAGGGACATGGTGACGTGACAGAGAATTGTGAAGCTCATGTGTCGGTCATCCTTGCTTCTGTGTTACTTCTGGAATATCAAATGCAAAAATGGTAACGTTACTGCATGATTGTGCACAAAGTTTGCAAGTAAGTTATACATGGCGTGAAAGTTAAACTCACCAAAGATTAGGGCAAACTGTCTCAGTAAAACATTTACATCAAGTGAAGGATTCCTAGGAAAAAAGAAGAAAATAATTATTTCGAAATCTTTAACCAAGCAAAGAAAATCGACGTCAGAGTGCGGAGAACATTGAATAGTGAAATGCCTCAGCTGTTGATAACTGTCTGTCTGCAAAAACGTGTTTCGCGCCGCAAAGAATATCCGTCTCTGCCTCGTCTTTCAAACACAACCTCT